GGATTCACTCCCTAATTGATTCCCAATTGAGATTAGAAACTAAGATCAATTTGCTATCCAAGTGTTATTGAAATAGTATCCAATACCTTAGTATTTCTCCCAAATTGTTTTTTCCTAATCAATTTTAGTTTATTTGTTCTAAATTCCAACCAAATCACTCTCTCAAACAACCACGTGTTTTCTTTTATTAATCATTTTTGACACTCCAAAATTCCCATTTTCCTATGGATCGACCTTGAACTCTACCAAGATTTATTACTTGCATGATAACCTATATTTGGGTTTACAACTTCCACGGCGAAGCATCTAGCTTCCACCCAAATAAGGATCATAAGATCATACTTCCATTCGAACGGTAGATTTTTGTTTGGATGAATTATTTCATAAAATTTTCATGAAATATACTTTTGTAGTGCTTCAAGTATTCTTTCCAATGTCACAAGAATAAGCTCAATCGAACATTGGAGTAAAAAAATATGATCAAAATACAAAAACTACTATCAAATTCATTTCTACTCTAATTCTCTATAAAATGCGTTTGAGGCCCAGAACCCCTCCAAACTTCTTTTCTTCTCCCTTTTGGGCTTTATCGCTTGTCGCTTCTCAGTTTTCAAACTCTCACCAGAGGCCCCGTTCTTAAGTGATATTGGAACACTTTATATGCATTTAGAATTACCAATATCTCAATGAATAATCAATCTTAATCTTATAGCAAATAAAATATCCGAAACACCAACATTATCTATATCTCACCAATCTGGATCACTATACAAGTCAAACACCTATTCTAAAGTTTTGTGATCTCCTAGATTCAATAACATTATTTTGGCCTAGCCTAAATTTTTTTAGATACTTACCAAACTACCCTTATCAAGCTTAAACCCTCTGAAACTAAATTGACTAGGAAGTTAATACGCAAAACTCAAACTTCACGACTTTTAATAATGATTTGAAGTTTCTATTATTTTTTTAATTATTTTAAAAAAATTCTTCAAATAATACTGTTCATATTTATTTATAATACAATATCTTACATTTAATATGAATTAGACATGACACAACATAACTTAAGCAAAATTAATACGATTTAACTTGAATAAGACACAAACCCTATATAATACCATCTATTAAGAGTTAATCAAATCACATTAATAGCATCTACGGTAAATTTCACGTGGATCCCTGATATTTAATTTTATAACATGGATATACCCTCACATTGTAGAAATTGCACTAAGATCCCTTGATATTTATACTATTATAACAATCATACCCCTTTTACTTGACTGATGTTAAAGAGACTAAGGATTAACTCATATTGTATCATTTAGTTTCTAATAATTTACAAGTTATAAAATAATAATTTTGAGATCAACTAATATTATATCATTTTATTTTTGAATAATTTACAAATTTAATTACATTAAATGATGAATTATTTGATTTTAGTTACAATTTAAAATTAAATTAAATATAAAGTAAATTTAAGATAAACTTTTCTCAAAATTGGTGAAAATCCCTAAAACTCTTCATTCGACTACCCCTTTCCCTTCCATAACACCACCACCATTGCATAGTATGCCACCACCAGTGCACCGCACTCCACCACTGCAATGCACACCACCACCACAACACAAACTCATCCAAATTCCACTTCTTTTCCTCTTAAAAACAAACTTTTCGCCTTCCAACTTCACAAAACCCTCTGATTTTTGGCTTCATGAATGGTGTTTTAGAAAGAGAAACATAGAGCGGTGGACGACAATGGTCTNCATTATCTATATCTCACCAATCTGGATCACTATACAAGTCAAACACCTATTCTAAAGTTTTGTGATCTCCTAGATTCAATAACATTATTTTGGCCTAGCCTAAATTTTTTTAGATACTTACCAAACTACCCTTATCAAGCTTAAACCCTCTGAAACTAAATTGACTAGGAAGTTAATACGCAAAACTCAAACTTCACGACTTTTAATAATGATTTGAAGTTTCTATTATTTTTTTAATTATTTTAAAAAAATTCTTCAAATAATACTGTTCATATTTATTTATAATACAATATCTTACATTTAATATGAATTAGACATGACACAACATAACTTAAGCAAAATTAATACGATTTAACTTGAATAAGACACAAACCCTATATAATACCATCTATTAAGAGTTAATCAAATCACATTAATAGCATCTACGGTAAATTTCACGTGGATCCCTGATATTTAATTTTATAACATGGATATACCCTCACATTGTAGAAATTGCACTAAGATCCCTTGATATTTATACTATTATAACAATCATACCCCTTTTACTTGACTGATGTTAAAGAGACTAAGGATTAACTCATATTGTATCATTTAGTTTCTAATAATTTACAAGTTATAAAATAATAATTTTGAGATCAACTAATATTATATCATTTTATTTTTGAATAATTTACAAATTTAATTACATTAAATGATGAATTATTTGATTTTAGTTACAATTTAAAATTAAATTAAATATAAAGTAAATTTAAGATAAACTTTTCTCAAAATTGGTGAAAATCCCTAAAACTCTTCATTCGACTACCCCTTTCCCTTCCATAACACCACCACCATTGCATAGTATGCCACCACCAGTGCACCGCACTCCACCACTGCAATGCACACCACCACCACAACACAAACTCATCCAAATTCCACTTCTTTTCCTCTTAAAAACAAACTTTTCGCCTTCCAACTTCACAAAACCCTCTGATTTTTGGCTTCATGAATGGTGTTTTAGAAAGAGAAACATAGAGCGGTGGACGACAATGGTCTAATTATTTCAATATTTGATTAATTTATAGTTTAATATAATTTTTATTTCACATATTATCTATATACTATAATAGACATATGTTGAGAAATTTTGTCAGATTATGTGTTTTGAAAAAAATTTGTCGATATTTTTAAGAAAATAATGGATAACTATAGAAAAATTATTATTTAATACAGTTGAATAGATTTTTTTGAGCACACGAATTTTATTTTTCATCATACTTTTAGACACGGGTTATAATTAGTAAAATCATGTCCTCACGACTTCCAATGCTTTTGGGTTTAATTTCACTAGTGTTTGAATATTTTTTTTTTGATTTGTTAAATTGATTAGAATTGAGGTATGATTATATTTCTTATATTCAATTTCTACGTTTCATGCTTCTGGATTCAATCCCATGATTTTAGGTTGATTTTCTCACGTTCAATTTCATGTTTCTAGGTTAGTTTGTAGTTGTTTTTTCTCGTGTTCAATTCCATATTTATGGGTTTTAATTTCATGATGGGGTGCATTTTTGCTTTTTATTTTCATGTTTTTGGGTTTAATTTCATGGCTTTGGGTGGATTTTCTCATGTGTAATTCCATGTTTCTGGGTTCAATTTCATGATGGGTTGCACTTCTACTTTTTAATTTCATGCTTGGGTTCAATTTCATTCTAATTGTGATATTTGTAATTGTTATTTTGTTGTCAAATGCTATGATTTTTTCATTAAATGTTGCGAACCAATTCATGAGTATTTCTTGTAAGGTGTCAATGGGTTTTTGATGTGATTTTCGGGTGGGAATTTATGTGTCCAGTGTGTCGTGACTCGAATTTTGCATGACATTGTGATTTGAGTTGTGATTAGTAGTGAAGGAAGCGATGATTTTTTAGGCTTATTTTTTAGGTTGTATTTTGGTATTTTTGTAATTGAATATGGTTAACATAAGAAAACAAGAAAGGTGATGGCATTGGTCTTTAGGGGTAAGGGTGCCGGGCTTGGAATACAAGCAGCTATGTTATACGTAGGTAGTCAAAATTCGACATGACACGATTAATGAATATGAATTAAGTAGATTTGGGTGAGATCTTAAAGTATTTGGATGATAAATGAGTTAATACGCCAAATTCGTTTAATAAACGGGTCGTGTTTGGGTGAGACCTATCAAACCGTTTATCACACGTTTACCCGTTTAAATAAAATTAATATAATAATATAATAATAATTATTTTAAAAAATTAGAAAGAAAAAAAGAAGTAAAGAAATAAATTAAAAAAAAAAGTAAAGTAATAGTTAAAGACAAAATAGAGGAGGTGAGGAGCACTTCAAAGACAAAGGCAAGCCAATGTCTTTTGTTTTTGTTTCACATTAGAAAATGAGGTGAGATGGGGAGGGTTGAGTTGCCTATAAAAAACAATGACATCTTACATTTTTTTTTTAAAACCTTCAAGTCTTATTTTTATGACATTTAACTAAAAATTCTTCTTTTTTGAGGTAAGTGTAATTGACAATAAAAAAAAGTGGAGTATTAAAATTTATTAATATAATTTTTTAAAAATTAAATGGGTTAAACAAATCGTATTGTGTTACCCGTTTATTAAACGAGTCGTGTTTGTGTTGAAATTTTTTACCTATTTATTAAACTTGTCGTATACATGTTTATATATTTTCAACCTACCACCCGTTTAATCCGACACGTTTGACACCCCTATTTGTATTGTGGACATGGATTAATTTTGTGTTTTTTATTGGCTTGTCTTATTAAAGTCTCACTAGGGGTAATTTAGAATTTTTATCAAAATTATATTGGTATAATTCAGTTTAAACCGTTTTTCAAACAAATCTTAATCGTAAGGTTTTGTGTGTAATACATGCATAAATCTCAGGAGGCATCAACGTAATTTTTCATATCCCTGGAGACTTATTTAATTAAATAACAAACTTCATGGGTTGTGAATGTAATTTATCCTAAAACCAAATATCAGTGAAATTTACCCGATTCAGAAAGTTGGCCAATCAACTCTCTCCCATTATCAATATCGGCACCTGGTCAACTATTCCACGTGGTTGCATCTAAAGCACGCGTCTACCTCACATTACTAATAACCCACCCCACCCTAACGTCTCTCTAAAATACAACCCACCGACGCTCTCCCATCCTGTACTACATTATCGTCATCAGAATTTGCAGAAGAAAAGCCAAGACCGGCCATGGATTTCTGGCAGAAAGCTCGGAGCTTCGCCGAAGAAGCGGCGAAGCGTTCACAGGAGTTCACCATTGAAGCCGCGAAGCGTTCACAAGAACTCACCAAAGAAGCCGCGAGGCGGTCACAAGACTTAACGATTGGGTCGTCCAAACTCTCCGACATCGTCTCCGAGGCCTCCAAACGCTCGAAGGAGATCGCTGCCGAGGCGTCCAAGCGAGCCGATTTAATCAAAACCGAAGCATTGAAGCGAGCTGACCAGATCAAGTCCCAGATTCCGCTGTCACAGCTCGTTGACTCGTCAGCTTCGGTTCAAGAGACGGTGACGACGGAGGAGTTGGAGAAGTTTGGGGTTACGGATGATTTGAGAGAATTTGTGAAGGAAATTACGTTGAATACTTTTAAGGATTTTCCCTTGGAAGGTACTTGACGTACTTGATCTACTGTTTTCTGTTCATAATTTTCTTTTATGCGTTTGGCTTGTCAAAAAAACTTGGAAAAAAAAAGAAATGATGTAGTGTGTATGTTATTATAGTGCTTTTTTGTTTGGACTTAACATATTAAGACCTGAGATTTGATAATGTGCGCTCGAACAGTGAATTGGTTGGTTGTTAGCTATGGTTTTTTTTTATCAATGTACCGTTGTTCGAGGCTCCAGTTGGTTGATGTGAAAATGGAGGAAAAAATGGAAGGGAGAAGAATTTTGGTTCTAAATTCTTCATAAGTTGAGTACAAGGACACAAAGAGCATACTTTTTGGCTTGAACAACCGTGATTTTGATTCTTAGGCATCCTTTTTCTATGCTGTTGTTTGAAGTACTAAGAATTTCTCTTGATATGAACAAAAGATGGTTAAGTATATTGAAACAAAGGAAATTTATTAGGGCACATTGGAATATCTTTTTAAATCAGATCGCGATAGAAGGAAAGGAAAAGAATTTTGAAATCTTTTAAGGTGAAGAAGAATGGGTGAGCTTATGTGGGATAGAGCAAAGTTCTTGGCCTCTCTCTGGTCTTCAACTGTGAAGGAGTTTGAGGATGTACTTCGTTGGTTCTTCATCTTGATTGGATAGCGAATGAGTTTTTGCTAAGCCCTATCTTGACTCAATTGTTTCTGTTGTATTTTCTTTCCTTTTCTATTTATTATCCTTTCATGGGGTGGATTCCTTGTCGACCATTATGAACTCTATATTTATGTTTAATGAAAGTTTCGTTTCTTATCAAAAATCAGATTGCTATAGATGAGAAAAAAATTACTTTTCAGTGGCGTAGCCATTTTTGTTAAGGATGTATTAAAATTTGATGAAGATGATTTGACTTAGCTGCTTTCTATTGCTTTTACACTCTTGCTCATGACATGTTTGTTGTTATTTTGTTGAAATTAGGGATTAGCTTTCAAACATTTAACTGTCGAGTAGCAACAAAAAACGGTAACTTCATTACTTTATAGGTAGTTTGAAGTGGCTTAATCCCTATCTTAATCCTCAGTGTTATCAACTTGGAATAAGCCCTCTATAGTGGACCTCACAGCCTACTTTTTACCTGCCAAGTGCCAACTTTTTTATGAGAATGGTTTTTAAGGACCAATATTTTTGGATTGGCATACGATGATGATTGAGGTTTTTGTTGAATTCAAGAGTCAGTTTCTTCTTAGTAACAATTGTTGGCTTAAATGGTTGCTACCATCTAGCTCAAGAGTGACGGAATCCTCTTAAACAATTGGATGCTAAATCAGTAGGATTGAGTAAGTCCCACTGTTTGAAGTAGTGGCAAGGAAGATATTTGATGCTTGATCTGAATCAATATTACCTGGATCGTGGGTCGCTTTAGTATGTAGTACGAGTACGAGTACATAGTATGACACTTTCTTAGGTACGCAGTACGATGAGAGTAGACTTAGATAGTATAGTATTTTGAGTCACAATTCGTTTTAAAACTCTTATATAGGTCATTTTCACTACTATACAATATTATATATTATAGAACATCCATAAACACTAAGCTAATTACTAATTACTATTTATCTTATAGTTGTGTTTGATTCTCTATTGTCTAGAATAATATATAATTATAAATCTATATATATGTAGTGAATTAATATATATTTTATATTTGTGCTGCATATTCTAAATCGAATTGATTTAGGGTTAGTATTACAATTTGGAATTGTCTTTTTTGGTGATCTAGATCACAAACTCACCCCGATTGATGTATCTAGATTGTGGGTCGTCAGAGATTGAGTGAATTGTGGTAACATGGGTCTGAATTACAAAGAGCAGAAGTACAGTAATATATGTAGTGGATTTTGCTATGTTTCAAGGGAGAAAGGTACTGGACTGATATGACCTTTATGGGGGATGAAGCTTCGGGGGTGTTCAAGAGTCTTAATTGTGGATAACGCTCTGGTGGTGGATGGCATGACCGTGGCTTTTTTTAGCATTGTTTGGATGTTATCTGACATGATGTCACAGTAATGTTGCCATTCTTCTATGGCCATGGGGAGTTTGAGAATAATTTAATGCAACCTTACAGTATCAGTACAAAAGAAAGAGGGTGCATGGGATATAACGGACTTCAAGCCTAATTGCTTCGGTGCAACATTAAGTTAATATCTCAGGTTTTCTCTTTAATGATACATAACGTAGGGCTGTTGTTGTCTTTAAGATCCTGCTGCCTGCATGCTTTTTGCAGGCGGGTAGATTGTTGATGCATCATTGCTAATATTCGACTGAATGTGTGTTCTCCCTTTTGAGGGGTGGGGAGACTAGTGATATCTGCAAATTGAAATAGAAAGCCTATGACAATGTGAATTGGTGTGGACTTTCACTTTTAGGTGTTGGAAATGATGGAATTTGGTCTGAGGTGGAGACAATAGCCGGTGTATATTCATTATTCTTGTATTGCAATTTCTTTGTTTGATACTAAATCTGGGTTAATGACCTAGATAGAGAGTACCCTTTCCCGTTTGTTGCCCATCCTAAACATAGAGCCATCGAGTCACATGTTGTCTACGTTATGGGAGGTTCTTGACAGGATTTGAGGTAGGGACTCAAGGGGGAGATGCTTCGATGTCCCATTTATTATTTGCTGATGTTTGTTTTATTTTGTGGGATGGAAAAGGATAAATTTTGGTATCTGAGATGTGTTTTTTCGGTTTAAGGTGGTGTTGGGTCGGAAAATTAATCTGAGGAATGGTGAGATAATTCATGTAGGGGAATAGCTAGATATGAAGGTTTTAACTAGACATTTGGGGTGTAAAGTGGAGAAAAGGTGGAAGACGCAGTTTTATCATAAGGGGAAAGCTCACTCAGATAAAAAGCAGCATCTCAAACCTTCCTTTTTATTTCATGTCATTTTTTATGATACCAAGTTCAGTTGTCGAGAGTTGAACAGATTTGGAATTTGATGAGGGATTTCGTTCAAAGTGACATGGAAGGAGAGAAAAAATATCCTCCTGTAGAGTGGGTTGTGGTCTGCTTTCCTATAAGAGGAGGAGAGCTTGGGATCAAGAAGTCAAAGTCCCTTTAATCATGCTTTGCTGGGAAGTGGCTATGGAGGTTTGGTTGGACAGAGGGTGGATGCTTGTAGCTTTTGAGGCAACAGAGAGGACTGATTGAGGTGGCTTGGAGTAAGAGATGTAATGTTCTCTTTAAAACCATTTTATTCTCTTCTTGCTACAGAATGGGTTTTCTTCAATTGGCATGTGAGACAGGTCACTAAAACTCCCAAAAAAGTGGCTTTTTTGTTTGAACAGGAGTGTTAAAAGCCATTCTTACTGAAGATAATCCAAGGATTCATGTCAATTGGTGCTATATGTGGAGAGGCGGTGAGAAGGTTAACCATATTCTTCTTCGTTGTGATGTTGCTATAGCGTTGTGGTATGTTTGGAGAATGGCCTCTCTTTGCTTAATGTGGTGCTTGTGGAAATTGAATAGCTTTTGGAAAATGAAGAGTTGCAAATTTTAAATTAAAAGCCTGTTGAGGTTTCTTTTGGTATTTTAAGAAGTACAAAATCCCTGCCGTCTTCTTGGGGTTCATGGCTGGACTTTTGTTGGGGGGATGAATACTGTATAGTTCGTTTGTAGAGAGGATTCAGATTTTTGTAGACCTTGGTTGTGATATGTTACTTTTTCCGAATGCCTTTTGGTTGATCGATTTTACAAATGAAAAGAAATTGTTTATTATGTTGGCCTTGGAAATAAAAAGCTTTAAGAAATCTTGCTGGTAATCCCATTTTGAGAATTTGGACTGTGTTCTCTTGATAACACATGTTATGGAGTTGAAGAATTTGGTATCCAGAGTAAGCAATGACTAGATTTTTTTTTTGTTGGAACATGTACGACAATAATAACATCAAATTTAGTTAAACTAACTCGTTAAAAATATTGAATTTTTGGGATTTTTTGTTTGATATTGCGATTCTTTAAGAACACATTTTTAACCCCTTTTTTTTTGATGAAGTAAAGATTAGAGCCAGTTTGGTTTTGAAGATAACATTGCGACTTTGAAGAAAATGTCTAACCTGTGTGTGTGGGAACTCAGGATTGCATTGGAATGTGGAGATGCTTGTGATGGAATAGCATTTGGGTTTCTAACGTCGATTAGGATTAGGATGAAGACAAAGTTCTGCAACTTATGGACAAACAATGAAGACTATCACTTTGAGTTATGTTTCAAAAGTGAAATCTCAGAAGGTTGATCCTCCTCAGACACCAATGGCAAAACAACAAAAGAAAAATGTGTCCGTTACTTTAAAATAGTCAAAGATCAAAGCATGCCCCTTCAGAGAGTGCCTTGCAAATTACAGCACAATTTTTTATTCATCCTATCCTATTAGGGGAACAGTAGGATTGTTGTCAAGATGTATATGGTGTAAAGCATCAAAATTACTAAAGAACATGGGGTTTGGCTTAATGTGAAAGAAGTTGGTTAATGTCTTAAACGGGGTTGATGCCTTACTTTTTGACTGTCANTGGATGCTTGTAGCTTTTGAGGCAACAGAGAGGACTGATTGAGGTGGCTTGGAGTAAGAGATGTAATGTTCTCTTTAAAACCATTTTATTCTCTTCTTGCTACAGAATGGGTTTTCTTCAATTGGCATGTGAGACAGGTCACTAAAACTCCCAAAAAAGTGGCTTTTTTGTTTGAACAGGAGTGTTAAAAGCCATTCTTACTGAAGATAATCCAAGGATTCATGTCAATTGGTGCTATATGTGGAGAGGCGGTGAGAAGGTTAACCATATTCTTCTTCGTTGTGATGTTGCTATAGCGTTGTGGTATGTTTGGAGAATGGCCTCTCTTTGCTTAATGTGGTGCTTGTGGAAATTGAATAGCTTTTGGAAAATGAAGAGTTGCAAATTTTAAATTAAAAGCCTGTTGAGGTTTCTTTTGGTATTTTAAGAAGTACAAAATCCCTGCCGTCTTCTTGGGGTTCATGGCTGGACTTTTGTTGGGGGGATGAATACTGTATAGTTCGTTTGTAGAGAGGATTCAGATTTTTGTAGACCTTGGTTGTGATATGTTACTTTTTCCGAATGCCTTTTGGTTGATCGATTTTACAAATGAAAAGAAATTGTTTATTATGTTGGCCTTGGAAATAAAAAGCTTTAAGAAATCTTGCTGGTAATCCCATTTTGAGAATTTGGACTGTGTTCTCTTGATAACACATGTTATGGAGTTGAAGAATTTGGTATCCAGAGTAAGCAATGACTAGATTTTTTTTTTGTTGGAACATGTACGACAATAATAACATCAAATTTAGTTAAACTAACTCGTTAAAAATATTGAATTTTTGGGATTTTTTGTTTGATATTGCGATTCTTTAAGAACACATTTTTAACCCCTTTTTTTTTGATGAAGTAAAGATTAGAGCCAGTTTGGTTTTGAAGATAACATTGCGACTTTGAAGAAAATGTCTAACCTGTGTGTGTGGGAACTCAGGATTGCATTGGAATGTGGAGATGCTTGTGATGGAATAGCATTTGGGTTTCTAACGTCGATTAGGATTAGGATGAAGACAAAGTTCTGCAACTTATGGACAAACAATGAAGACTATCACTTTGAGTTATGTTTCAAAAGTGAAATCTCAGAAGGTTGATCCTCCTCAGACACCAATGGCAAAACAACAAAAGAAAAATGTGTCCGTTACTTTAAAATAGTCAAAGATCAAAGCATGCCCCTTCAGAGAGTGCCTTGCAAATTACAGCACAATTTTTTATTCATCCTATCCTATTAGGGGAACAGTAGGATTGTTGTCAAGATGTATATGGTGTAAAGCATCAAAATTACTAAAGAACATGGGGTTTGGCTTAATGTGAAAGAAGTTGGTTAATGTCTTAAACGGGGTTGATGCCTTACTTTTTGACTGTCACAATACTATTCTCTCTGTCTCTGTCTTTGTCTCTGTCTCTCTCTCTCTCTCTCTCTCCAGTTCTTTGAATTTGTCCCCTAATATATATTAATGCACAATTCCCTGTATATCACCAAGGATGCTGAATCTGATATAATAGTAAAATGGTAGTCATCATCTCTGCTACTGGTGTAGAATCAATATGAAGTGGAAATTTATTTTGGCTAGCTATTGTTGTTGGTGATGGATCTGATTGTGTGATGGCGCATGTCAACAAGGATCATGTGGAACATACTAGAGCAATGTAGTTATTATGGTATTAAAGGATTTGTTAAAATATTTTTGGCTTCATTTTGAAGTTTGGATGCTGTTACCATGGTACTTATTTGTTATGTTTGACTCATAAGCCACAAGCTTATTTGAACAAGTGTCTTTGATGGCAGATGATTCAGAAATGTCTGATATTCCCACACTATCAAATGTTCGGCAGGATCTTACAAAATGGCAAGAAAGACATGCCAAGCTTGTTCTCTCAACTGTCAAGGTAGCTTGTTTTTTGTTTTTTTTTGTTGGGTTGGGGAAAAACTCTTGCATTTATTGTAGAATCAATCCTAAGCCTGAAACTTTCTAGGGTTGGCTATTTGCTGAGGGTCTGTAAGTCTTAAGCATACTCTTATCGCCCTTTAATTTACTATTGTTTCTGGGTTTGGTTGTTCATAATAACCCCTATACGAAATGCTGATATGGATAGAAAAGGAGTGGTTAGAATAGCATCTACTAATATCACTGAAAATTTGGTTAAAATACTTTTACAAGAAGGTTTTATCGAAAACCTCGAGAAAAAAACAAATATTTTTTGGTTTTAACCATGGGACATAGAAGGAATTCATTGATAGTTAGAATAGATTTGTAAACCAGCGAAACTGATCCGTTTTAAATTTAAAATATTTCTATAGTATCTTCATGATAATAGATTGTTAGGTATTTATTTGTTTTGTCAATGACAGGGTGGTTGACCTAATGAAATTTGTGAAGAAACTACTTACATTTTTCTGAGACCATATTTCCTTGCTGAAATCTGTTTCTGGGACAATGTATTTTGCTTTCTATTTCCATTAGCTTTAATTTCTCATCCTGTTTTAGGTGCTTGCCCGCCGTTGTGGTTTATATATTGTCTCATGACCACTATTCCTTTAAAATATTTTCCATGTGAACAATACTAAACGACATAACCCAAAGTGTATGTCTGCTGTATGAATCTCGGTTCACCATTTAGCTCTGTCTATAGTTGTTTTGAGCGACTAATAGCTTTTATGCTATTTATGTAAAGCTAATGGTTTGTATCTAGCCATTTCATGAGTACTGCAGGAGCAGGACACTGTGTTAAATGCTGTTTCAGCTAGAATTACGAAAGCTATCCGGTTCCCTTTGCCTTTTGTATGTATGTTATTGAGAATTCCTGGGAAGGAGAGGCAAGTGATTGGTTTAGTGTTAAAAGTTGAGGCTCTCGAGATGAGAAGCAGAGGCTCTTCAGAAGCTAACATATCTGTATCAAACATTGACGCTCCTCAGATATTATCAGACATGTGTTTGATATCCTTTTATCCATGTCCATAATTAAAAGAAATAATTTTTATTTCGGACACAAGTCCAACACTTGTTTGGTGATGTGTTCGACACTACTTTAGGTCTTCTCTACTAATGAACAATAAACTTATCTTGACATGTAATTAACAAAACTTAAAAATTTGACACATGGCTATCTTATATCATGAGAGAAAAAATAATTGTTTAGATTAATCATGTTAAAGTTGTACCTAAAATTTACTCGTAAATGAACAAAATTCATAAAAGTTTTGCTAAAAAAAAAAAGAAATTGAGAAAATGAGAGCAATCATTGTACTCGTATACGTTTGTTACACGTCTATAAAAAATTGTTGATTATTGACTACTGTTAATCTCCTACTTTTTTGAGTAATGTTGTGTCTGTGTCGTATCGTATCTGTATCCGTATCCATGCATCTTAGCTCTCGAGCATGAGAATGTGGTTAAACCATCTGGGGAGCTATTTTGTAGAAGGAATGCTGACCCAGTGACCCCTATGTAATCCATCCACCACTCAACATCCCATATTTGCAGGACTATCACTAGTTAATGGCCACTGTACTTGTTCCTAGCACTAGATTTGTTTGTGATTAAAATTTGAGATGAAAAGTATCGTTAAGCATTAGCTGAATGTTATATGAGAGCCTGGGTGAGGACAGTTAGCTATCAAGAAATAGGCAGGGAAGCAAAGCAATATCGGCATATTTTTGTAGTTTTTATCAAAATGGATGGAATTGATAATATTTTGATTGTATGACCAGATGCTGTTAATTGTTATGCTCCCCCATATATACAAAATTGTTGAGGAATATGCTAAATGAGTTTTTGGGAGTGGGAAATTGTACGTTTCAAATGCATGAAACTCAAGGAAATGTTCTCCGTTGTTTACTACATCTTGCATGATCTTCCACGTAATAGAGAAATGGGTATACATTGCCTTTTTAATTGTTATTGCAACATGCAATTGTTTAACTTGTGCTTGAAAATTTCTGCAGTGCATGAATATCTAACAGTATGGTGTTGCAGGAAGTTTCGAAGCTAAGATACGAGTTATGCCCGCGGGTCATGAAAGAGAGGAAGTTTTGGAGGATATATTTTATTCTTGTGAATAGTCATGTGGCTCCGTAAGTAACTTGTCCTTCGGGGGGAAACTGTTATTATGTTAGTCAGTGAAGGCTTTTCATTGCATACTAAATCTGTGTCAATATGTTATTTTGTATGAGATTGTTAATAGAATTATATGCTTGATATTTGCAAACACAAGGATTTTACAGTTACCTATAGTTGTAGTGGGTAGAGGCAGTGGAACAAGAAAATGTGAATTGAAGTTTGACTAATTGGTTTTGATACTGGAATTAATGATTGAGCCCTTTTTTCTTTTAGTTTGGAAATGACAAATGTTGGGCAGTGTACATCTGAGGTTAGACACATGCTAGGGTTTGTCTTTATCTTTTTACTTTTTTTTTTTTATCACATTTGCCCCTTTTAATTCTTATATAAATTGTTCATGCCATTTTGCCTTTTTGCTTGTTGACTAAGATCAAAAGCTTCTCTGGATTGGTGTACTCATTGAAGGAGATATATTTCTGTTGGATTTGTTAACCCAAAATATCGTGAATAAGCCTTCTAATTATGAAATGTAGTATTCAGTAGTGGTTGATTCATTTGACACTCGTGCCACTGCTACTCGCAATCTTCAATCTGGCTGATGTCCGAGATAAATCTTTTCCACTCATCCTTTCCAGGAAATTGAAAGCATGGAATTGAGATTTTGCCATGAGATGTCTGCCTGGTCACCTGTATGAGTGCTGGAGCGTGTTGAAAAAATTGGAAATAACGAATCCTGGGAGTTGATGTTGGACAGATTATTAGATGAGGAATTGTTGAGAAATAACCAGTGCAGTCTTGTCGTATTCCTCTCTTTATGCGTGCATGTGAACGTGTGCCTGCATTGGATATGGAGGGTTTTTTATCTTTATGGTAATTGATGTTAAGTAATTCTATGTTGTTCCACTTGATGTGTTTAGGTATGAAAAGCGGTACATGGAAGATGAAACACTAAAATCAGCTGAAGTGAAAGATGATGTAGTAAAGGAAGTTTCAACAGTTGGAGCAACTTCTAGAACAGAAGTGAAGGAAATAAACCCGAAGAGCAAGAATGCAACCTCATCAGCCACTGACCAGGACTTGGATGTATTTCTTCTGGGTGATCTTGGGGACAGCGATGAAGGCCCAGGTAGAATATTGACACTTGTTGATTTGTTATTTTTGGTGTCCATATGCATAGAACAAAAACGTTGATACTTTTTTCGCTTCCTTTTAAACTGAAAAAGGGGAAAAAGGTTTGTCTTTATCCATTGAATTACGTATCTGTATATTCACATTTAATCAATTTTATGATGCTTGGGTTGTTAGATGTCTCTTTATGATTCTGAAGGCATTAAATGTGTCACTCTTTGTAATCCAATTCTGCTCCACATTTGCCAACTTAAACTTTGCATGTTGTAGTTGAGCTTTCCATATAATGATGTGATCAACCTTAGAATCCTGTAGTCTGCTATTCCAGGGTTCAACCTAATCAATGATGGCCATAAATTGCTGGTATTTCCTGATTTATACTGGTATTAGCCCTTTTTGTTGAATAGATATGCAATCTTTTTTATTGTCTTCTAAATTATTTACTAATATGTCTGAGTAGTAGACTGGAAAAAGATTATATTATGTGAATTTTCCTGTATTGGTAAGAATTCTTGTGTATTTATTATCTTTTCTTGTCTGTCAGATGATGGCGGTGAGGGCTTTGATGATGATTTTGACAAGATATAGGTCGGTAAGCACAGTTACCAAATATTTTAATTTGTAGCCCACACTATTGCACCCTTGATCTGGCTCATTAATTTCTCATCGAATTAGATGAACTGGTACTAAAACAGTCGGCCAGTCTGATTTCTATTTATATCTAAATTTAACCTGGTGAATTTGCTGTTTGTACTCTACAATGAATTTTAATCCCATTCCGAATGCTGTGATGTGTTCTTATTCCCTAAAAATGCCTAGAGTGCTCGAAGAGCCAAGCTTTTTTGAGGTGTTATTTGGATTTAGCCTTTGGCACTTGGGTTTGAGATGATTGTATCTTATCCAATGGTATGGAAATTGCATCTAATGTTGGGTTAGACATTAGTATTGGGTTTTAGCTTTAGTATTGCAATTTACTGTGTTCAAGGTTCCTCGAATCTGCAGGAAGGTGGAATGAAGAAACAACTGAAGGGCTCGCCTGTGGCTGCACACGACATCATTGTAGCTCAGAGATCTAAAGGTGAATATAGAGTTCTCATAAGCGGAGAAACTAGCTGATTTGGATGATCAACAGTAATTTGGCTATGTCAAAATTTAGAAACAACAGTTATTTCTATTCTTCTTTCCTTNATTGACACTTGTTGATTTGTTATTTTTGGTGTCCATATGCATAGAACAAAAACGTTGATACTTTTTTCGCTTCCTTTTAAACTGAAAAAGGGGAAAAAGGTTTGTCTTTATCCATTGAATTACGTATCTGTATATTCACATTTAATCAATTTTATGATGCTTGGGTTGTTAGATGTCTCTTTATGATTCTGAAGGCATTAAATGTGTCACTCTTTGTAATCCAATTCTGCTCCACATTTGCCAACTTAAACTTTGCATGTTGTAGTTGAGCTTTCCATATAATGATGTGATCAACCTTAGAATCCTGTAGTCTGCTATTCCAGGGTTCAACCTAATCAATGATGGCCATAAATTGCTGGTATTTCCTGATTTATACTGGTATTAGCCCTTTTTGTTGAATAGATATGCAATCTTTTTTATTGTCTTCTAAATTATTTACTAATATGTCTGAGTAGTAGACTGGAAAAAGATTATATTATGTGAATTTTCCTGTATTGGTAAGAATTCTTGTGTATTTATTATCTTTTCTTGTCTGTCAGATGATGGCGGTGAGGGCTTTGATGATGATTTTGACAAGATATAGGTCGGTAAGCACAGTTACCAAATATTTTAATTTGTAGCCCACACTATTGCACCCTTGATCTGGCTCATTAATTTCTCATCGAATTAGATGAACTGGTACTAAAACAGTCGGCCAGTCTGATTTCTATTTATATCTAAATTTAACCTGGTGAATTTGCTGTTTGTACTCTACAATGAATTTTAATCCCATTCCGAATGCTGTGATGTGTTCTTATTCCCTAAAAATGCCTAGAGTGCTCGAAGAGCCAAGCTTTTTTGAGGTGTTATTTGGATTTAGCCTTTGGCACTTGGGTTTGAGATGATTGTATCTTATCCAATGGTATGGAAATTGCATCTAATGTTGGGTTAGACATTAGTATTGGGTTTTAGCTTTAGTATTGCAATTTACTGTGTTCAAGGTTCCTCGAATCTGCAGGAAGGTGGAATGAAGAAACAACTGAAGGGCTCGCCTGTGGCTGCACACGACATCATTGTAGCTCAGAGATCTAAAGGTGAATATAGAGTTCTCATAAGCGGAGAAACTAGCTGATTTGGATGATCAACAGTAATTTGGCTATGTCAAAATTTAGAAACAACAGTTATTTCTATTCTTCTTTCCTTTCCCTTTATCTACGCTGTTCAATTTTTCATTTGTTGGTTTAATTTTTTTTTTTTTTCGTATTTCACTATTTCTTACAATTCCGGTGGGGTGGTGGGCAAATGGTATTTTGCTCCAGTGCTGTAAAATTTGTTGTCTTCAGGCCGTTGGTCCGAATTCAATTTTTTCTCTTGTTTGTATGTTATTCGACCTGGATACTATAATGACAAAAAAAAAAAGACTTGGATACTATAGCTTCTTAATACGATTGACATTATTATGTCCTTGCCTTCCGTTATCTGTTTAGGGGTATGGGTATAAATTTTACCTTCAAAACTGGAAATAAAATTTGCCTTGGAGTCGCTAACTCGAAGAAAAGCCCAATATTGGACCGCTAATGTAAGCATTCTAAAACATCAACTAACATAAGTCCAACACTGATCAACTGGCAAAGGAAGAGGTCGGTCCAATTCGTAGGTGGGTTGAAAGAAAAATGGGACCCAACCTCTTTCCCAAGGTTGTTGAACCTCACTTTTATCCATTTTGTGATGATCTTTTTCATTTATGGTGAATTTAGGCCATGAAATAAGTTTAATTGAAGAGTAATTTTATTGATACCTAAAAAATTAAAATAATTTATTGATCTAATGATGTGCCAAGTGATAGAGTTTTAATGTAGAAGTTTAATAGTTATAGTCATAATAATACTATTGGATCAAGTTATTATCACATCATTAAGTTTGTTTTTAGGTCCTAAAAGTGTTCCTCTTAAATTAAAAACATATGGCTCGTTTGGTTGTCGTATTGTAAAAAAATGAATTGTATTAGGTAATACAAACTAATTCCATATAAGTAGATAAAATATAAGATTAAACATGAGACAAAAATGTTATGTATTATAATCCAGTGTTTAGTAAGACACTGAATTAAGAACAAGATAATGGAATAACAATTACATATAAACTAAAAAATCATCAATCTTATATAGAAATTAATGTTTTTGTTTATTTATTGGGTAAAATAATAAATTTATAACTTAATACGATTGAATTGGACTGTAATACAACATCTCTAAGTGGTATTATAATTAGCTAGAATGTATCATTTGGATAAGTAGTGTATTATTTGAATAAATATTTAAAATAAGACTATATATAATATAAAGTGCTCCTTGCAACTAAATGTTGTATAAGAACATTTCCAACCATGATTCAAATTTAAACTCAAATTTGAGTCTAAATTTAAGTAAAAAGTTTGAAAATAAATGTGGTAAATATAAGAACTTGGTCCGTTCATGACGTCTTTTGTGTTTATATAAGATAAAAAGTTACTGTTAGAAATTTGATATAGAATTTAAATCTTTTTCAATTTAGGTTCAGAATAAATTTTGATTTGATATAAGTTTGGGCGTAATGTTAGAGAAGTTTTTAAAATCACTTTGTCTCGATTTTTTTAATTTTGTCTTAATTTGCTATAAGTTTTTTAAATCATTTTGATTCAAATTTAAATTTGAGTTTAGATTTAAATCAGGATTAAAGATGTTCTAAAGTTGGATTAAAGAATTTTAATTTGTTATGATTCTATAATATACTATTTAATACTGCAACCAAACCGAGTAATTGTTGCCTGTTAGTAGACGATTTCAGGTAGAGCGACCCCTCCTCCACTGGAGTCTCTCCCCTGAGCGGCAACTCCCTGAATATCCATCTCCGGATTTGCTCATTATTGCTCCTGCACCCTATCACCCCCATCCATAACTATCGCCTCTTTACCCCTATACCACCAATCCCCAAGCTTCAACCACAATCTCCAATGGCACCACTCAATTCTTACAGTATTAACAACTTAACAAGCATCACCATCACCCACCTCTGAACACTGCTTACTACCAACCCTCACCATCGTCATCACCTAATTCATGGATATCATCAATCATCAATTCATCAATGCATCATTACCCTTACCTACCTTATGTTTTTCCCTCGCAACAAACCCAGTTCGTTTAACAGAGTAAACCCAAACCACAGAGAAAATCCCCTTACCACTCTCACTGTAACCTAAAATCCATACCCCCTCATTAACCTCACAACATCATCCTGTCTCACCAATGGCAAACCAACAAAACCCAGATACGAATTATCAAATAGAGCCCCTAGACCACATGAACCAAGGACCCTACTCCAAATTCACCATACAACTACACTCTGACCAACTCGCCGCCACATTTATTGCCCACTCATGCCTCATAGGAAAATTCTACACCGAGAAGCAACTATCTTGAAATGTGGTCAAAATGATCCTCCATAGAATTAGGAACTCAGAACATCAAGGATGGTGATGAAGATGCATATATATTTATCTTGAAGACCTCAAACAAA